CATTATCAGAGGCGTGCTGGGAACAATGGGAATATGCATCACTTGCAGAAAAATAATTGTTGACGAGGGTGAGGGATTGCCGTGATGCCCAGGAGCAGCCCGGAAATTCACCAGCCGTTCAGGAAAATTTACATTTCCCCCCCCCCAAAGTCTGGATGGCCACAGTCTTTTCGGATTTGTCATTTTGTCACCTTTTTGATAGACATGGCTACAAAAGTGCATGTTGCTAAGTAAATCTGGCTTCGGGGACAGAATTTTTATTAGAGTTTTGTATGTTCTGGTGAGGTTTGCATCAATAGTTCTGGTTCCTCCCAAGAAATACACCAGCCGTTCAGGAAAATTGACATTTTTTTCCCCCCCAAAGTCTGGATGGCCACAGTCTTTTCGGATTTGTCATTTTGTCACCTTTTTGATTGACATGGCTACAAAAGTGCGTGTTGCTAAGTAAATCTGGCTTCGGGGGCAAAATTTTTATTCGAGTTTTGTATGTTATGGTGAGGTTTGCATCAATAGTTCTGGTTCCTCCCAGTCTAGCCTTGACCACCAATCTGCTACGTATGTTTCAAATTTATCGGCAATCGGAAAAAATCTCGAGGATGATTTTCTTTTTTGAGGGACTGTGGGAATTGCCAAAATGACCTCATATTGGCTGCTTCAAACCAAAATGGCCGACTTCCGGGGACGGGTTTTTCAGAATTTTTTTTCTACATCTACTGATAATAGATACATCTACCAAAGTTCATGTCGCTAAGTGAATTTGGTTTGGGGGCGTAATTTTGGAATGAAGTTAGATGTTTGATGTTTCATGGCAAGTCATCAAACTTCAAACTGACAATTTTTAGGTGGAAATGGCCATGTTCGGACATGGCTCTTGGAGAATTTTTATGCATCTACTCACGATAGACTTGCATAGCCAATGTCATGTCACTTGTGAAACTGGCTCCAGGGACTGGATTTAAAAAAGGAAAAAAAAAGAAAAAAAAAATCCAGTGGTTGCTACGGAGCCAATTTTGGGCGTTATTCCGACTAATAAATGCAATTTTAACATTATTCATGACCTGGAGCTTTAGTGCAAATGCCTGCACTATGTATTTCGTGGCGTTAAAAAATACAGAGTGCCTGATCGAGCGCTGTCTCTGTGGTAAAGGTCATGACCAAAATGTGAATTGTGCATGAAGATAAATGACATGAATCCAATTCCCCAGGTGATGGTGGGGGTGGGGGTTTTCTACTTACCGATATTCCACATAATCTACAGCACTGTAGTTATATTTCAGATGTATATCAAGCCATGTGCTGACTGTTGTTTGGCCCGAGCTCGCCTCTGGTCGAGATAAATGCTCCAAAACGTTCTGCTTGACCTTGATGTGAATCTGTGGGTATATGTACTGTACAATATATGCTCTTTTCTTTTCATTAGCAGACTTCTCACTCCAAACAGTATATCAGAATCAAGTGTCATCATATTTTATTTCTTTATTTTTTTATATTCCCTGTCAATCCTGGTGGTACAGATCCACTCTTAACTCCATCCCAAAACAATGTGTGTGGTTTTCTTGGTCTTTTTTTTTTTTTAGGAATACCACAACAGAATACATTTACTAATAGATATATTAAATAACAAATATCCATCCATACATCCATACATTCATTTTCTAATCCGCTTATTCTCACGAGGATCGCAGGCATGCTAGAGCCTATCCCAGCCGACTTTGGGCAGTAGGCAGAGTACATCCTGAACTGGTTGCCAGCCAATCATAAGGCAGACATCGGCAAACAACCTTTCACACGATAATCACACCTAGGGACAATATCAAGTGTTCCATTAGCTTGCTATGCATGTTTTTGAAATGTGGGAGGAAACCAGAGTAGCCAGAGAAAACCCACGCAGGCACAGGGAGAACATGCAAACTCCACAAAGGGAGGCCAGAGCCAAGAATCGAAACCTGCACCTCTGCACTGTGAGGCGGACGTACTCACCAGTCGTCCACTGTGCTGCCTAAACAATACATATATATTTCATTTTTTACCAAAACTACCCTATAGAGGAGCAGAAATACATACAAAACTTCAAAAAAAATTGGCCAGTGCATTTCTGGGATTTAGCATAGCGAAGGGGTAACTGTCCCAACCACACACACAAATATCTGCATATAAATGGGAATGAAACGGAGAATCTCCTGCCCATGACATGGCAGCTCGACTTGAGGAAGAACCCAAGCTACGACCGGAGTACGTGGAAATGTTGTATAATAAACAAATGCTAAGCAGAGCAAGGGTGGTTGGAAGCAGATTAGCTTTAGCAGCCTTAGCTTCTGATGAACTGAACAATGTTTGGCTTGTCTCAAACTGCGAGCTACGCTCTCGGAGACACGGCAGTCAAAGGTGTTTGGGTGGACAGTTGCTCATTTGCATGACAAAGGACCCCCCATCAAAAGAAGTTTTGAACGTAATCAGGTGAAGCTGTCCAAATCACAAACCAAAGTCAACCGTCTAGCCCGGTGTTTCCCAACACTGAGCCAAGACACACATTTCACATTAGAAAAAAACAATGTCAGAAAAAGTATATACAGTGTGCTCAAATAATCATGAGCTTGTTTAAATTTACTCACAAGTTTACTTAGTCAATGACAAATCTGCTTTTACACACAGCACATGATTCTGTTGTATAAATGGCAACAGGTAGTGACACTGGCTCACTGGCCGTGCCACATTGTGGTTGGGAATCACTGGTCTATCCGGTGTCTTGACTCCATTGCTTTGTACTCACCGAGGGCATCTGTCCGGAGACCAGCTGGCCGTCTTGCGCCAGCATGTTGGACATCATGAGAGTGGGCAGCTCCGGGTAGGAATAAGGGTTGATGAGTCCGTTGTGGGACAGCGAGTGGCAGAGGTAGCCCGTGGAGTCATGTTCCATCAGGTGTAGGAGTGGAGGCTCCGGGTGGTTGGGCGGAGTGATGGGAGGAATCTCGTAGTCCTCGTCCCCAGCTCCGTTGCCACTGGCCGGTCCCCCGCCGCCGCTACCGCCACCATTGCCTCCGCCGCTGCCTCCCGCTCCTCCACCGTTGCTGCCACTACCGCCACCAGTCTGAGCCGTGTAGTTCTGAGAAAGACAGAAACATGTTTGAATAGTAGAAATGTTGGTCTGTTCGAGACATCAACTTCAGAGCTGGAGCTGATGCCAGCGGACTTTGGGTGAGAGAAGTGGTTTTTACGTGGACTGTTCGCCAGAGTCTTTGTAAAACTGGTCATTAGTCAATCTTAGGGAACATACAGAAACCAAATTTTCACACTCATATTCACACATATGGGCAATTTATAGTCTTCAATGAACTAGACATGAAATATTTTTGAACACAGGAAAAAGACGGAGTATCAGGGACCCGGCGGTGAGCTTCAAACATTGATTCCTAACCCAAACTGTGAGGTAAACTTGCGAACCACCAGCCTTAAATGGAAATGCTATTTTTTTTTTATAGATCCCTGTTTTTAAATGTTTCCAGTATTCACACCAATGTGAAAAATATGACCAAAACAAACCTTGTTTCATCTGTTTTCAATTAAGAAAAGTCAAGGTCAAGCTACGACATCTATGTGTACTATCCAAAATGGACTGCAGACTCCAGAAAAGCAGACCGAAAGTAATGGACTATATCATAAAAATACCAACATGCTCGCTCAAAAATGTTTTTTATTTCTTGGGTTCATAAACACTCAATATGACTTATCGGGGTTGTAACAAAAAACAATTTTGAATTGGAAAATCCTTTTTTGATTCAAAAGATGCAAGTGCATCGACTCGAACCAAATCGATACATATCAAATCTTCTTTTATTGGAGAGATACATCTTTGAAGTGAATTCCCCTTTTACACTACTGGCAAGTCCATTCAAACGTTTGTAAAATGACAACAAAAAAGTCATGGCATCATACCTTCTCGAACTGACCCAAACCATATTGAATCCAATTGTAATCCCACTGAGTTGAACTGAATCAAACTGTTGCACTTTCAAATTGAACCGTCGTTGACTCGATTCGCACCTCATACGCCGAAAATCCGCATCGAATCGTCTTTTTGTGGAGAGACGCACACCATGATGACTTAGGAAGCTAGGCTAATAGGCTAACGATATTTGAGGGCATTTGTATCATCTCAAGACAGCACACCACACACTTAATAGCATTGCCACCAACGCTTTTATGAGCAGATCAGGGCGAAAACGAATTCGCACCAATTATGCGTACCCCGCTTTAACGCTTTGACTTTAACAACGCAACACACTACACACATATGTAATGTCCCTCATCTGTGTTGACCATCCCAACCATGATTTACTGTTAAATATCAAACAGCTCTAACATTTACGGATGTCTGCTGTGATGGTTTTACGACTACACACCCCACACTACAAGATAATTGCTCAGGATAATCTTTTAAAGACACCTGCTAATTGGGTGTTTGCTGACTCAGAAGTGTGGAATATGCTCAAATTTGATCAGATTATCAGCATATATTCAATTCGTTCTTTCAGTTATTCATCAGTCTTGCGTAAACCCATCCGACTTTCCCCTGATGTAGCTTAAAGACTGCTCAGTTCTCAACCTATCGTCACGCTTTCAATTCAAATTTGGTTTCATGTCATTTGTTGCGTAAATAAATAAATAAATAAATAAACACAGCGTGTCCAATCAGCTCCACAAAGAAACCCGGAGAGAAAAACATAGCCAAGGGAGTCAACAGGGAGCAAAAAAGCAATCTTGAGCTGAAACGACTCCCATTGTAATGACTGTGTCAAATTAATCATCACAAATAATATTCCGGTGTCAGCCATTCAAGGGTTTTTTAATAGAATTTTTATGATTCACGTCATGCGGCATACATCAAAAAGTCAGTCCTGCAACATTTCTCAAATCAATTCAATATCATCTTTGTGTAGGCTGTCATGCTCGACGGCAGAGTGGTCATTTATCTCGGCGGCAGATACTTTTAGGAGAAGATGGGTGAGGGGGAGAAAGAGAGACAGAGAGAGAGAGAAAGACGTGTTGTCATTTTTCTTCCTCAAGGTGAGGGTATTGTTCACCGGGTTCAACTGCTCCACTGTCTCATACCGTGAAATACAATCGAAAATAAAAATCTGATATAGATTATTAATACCATAAATAATCCCCTTTACAATTATTCTGAAAATCTGTAAACAGACATAAACAAATGAAGAACTAAAAGAACAATTAAAAATGTGTAATAAAAATAAATTAAAGAAAAATATCTTTCAGGACTTTGCATATGATCTAAAATGAACTTAATTTAGATAAATTATACAATTCTAAACAGGAATCCAGTAAATGTACATAGTCATTAAATTAAAAGAAAATAGTCAAAACAAATTGAAAAATAAATTGTGAAAAAAATGAAACAAGCTAAAAAAAATACTAAACACAATGAACCTAATGTAAATAAAGAATGTAATCAAAATAAATAAAAATACCTCAAAGAAAATAGACATAACTAAAAATAATGTGCAATCCATTAAATTAATAAATAAATAGAAATACTGTATAGCAACGATATATTAATGATATATTAATCGCAATATTGCATAGTCAATCAAGATAAACTACCGGTCTCTAAATACATGAAATAAAAATAATAAATGATGAAAAATAATCAAAGTGCATGACCAAAAATGTCTTACATTTTGAATAAAATAGCACTAAAACACAGTTTTAATAACATTACGTAAGAATATGCTAAAAAGACGTATAAAAATAAATAAAACGTGTTGTTTCATTGGCCAATCCAATGAAAAAGCAAAATCACAGCTAATAGAACAGCCACATTGTTTTCCACACACAAGAGAGCGAGAGCAGGTTGTAGCTTTTCGCAGAATTGAAATCCATTTGAAAACCTTTTGAACCAGGCTTTTAATTTGACATTTTTATCCTCTTCCCTTAAACTTAATGAGAAAGAAACACAGCGATCACCTCCAGTCTCGAGAAAGCTTGACATGAGTTCTCAGCCGCTGGCCTTTGAAGACTTATGTTTTTTATTTATTTATTGTTATTTTTGTGTGTGTGTGTGTGTGTGTGTGTGTGTGTGTGTGTGTGTGTGTGTGTGTACAAACCTTTGGGATTTGCTTGTGTTATTGTTTGGTCTAATGGATGAGAAAAGCAACATTTCCTGAGATTCAATGTCCCTCATAATTGTTGGAAGGAAATGGGATCGTCCACTGTAAACATCCAAGCTATTGTGTGTGTCCCTTGCCATTGTGCTCCAATGGGTGACATCTTTGAATGATCATGGAGCATGTTCATCAACATTTTGTTTGCCGTCTATCTAAGTGTGTGTCCACGAAACCAGCGACATTTTCATCTATATGATAAAATGTAAATATGTCAAGGACATCCCCAGTTGGATTGTGGCTGGATGAATCATTCATACATCTTCATTGTGAATGCATGTTTTTCTTCTTTCTCTTTCTGCATTCAATATTGCACTCTGGCAAAGGCATATACTCTACTGTACTTCACTGTATACAGTAGGAGCTTTCTGAAAACTATACTCCAAACAAAGGAAAGGCATTTGGATGTATCTTGACTTTACTCTGCAAATACAGTGGTACCTCTACCACAAAATTAATTGGTTCTGAAAGAAATTTCCTAACTAGAAAATTTAGTAAGTAGAGACCCGTTTTGCATGTAAATGACCTAATCCGTTCCAAGTGCCCCCAAAATTCAGGCATAAATGTTTTCAAAAGCATAGAAATGCATCAAAAAATGTAACAACTGCATGTTACAATTAGATTATTGCACAAAAATGACAGTTGTGCAGAATGTAAAAAAAACAAGAATAGAGTAAAGATCATAAAGGTCATTTATCTTTTAGGGATGTTTGCTTTTATCGGCTTTTCACAATCCTTCGAAAATGTCCAAGGCAAACACCAGCATAGTGAGCGATCGCCCGACTGGTGAACACTGTTTCTGGGTGATTCGCATTTTCGTAAAACTATTAGAATGCCTCATGGCCCGAGGGGCGAATGATGAGGACACTGCGTGGACACATATCTCTCTATTTATCTATCTACATACATAGACACATACGGTAGAGCCTTTACTCTTTGGATTCTGGCCATGTTTGTCAAATGGGTTGACCTGGGTCACTGCTGTGTGTTTCAAGGTATGTTATCCATAAAACATGAACTTGAGAAAAATTCCCCTAACACAAAAAGCCAAATTTAAAAAGATGCATTAAAATAGTCGCAATTACATGTTTTCAATGATAAGATCAGTCAATCAATTGCAGATTGAGTGTGCTTCAACAGTGTTTGAAGCGTCATCATTCCTCACATAGAAAATGAGGATTAATAAACAATTGGGATTGGACTGTTTGCAAATGTACAATATGGGTTATTATTTAACTGTGGACTGGATCCACAGTGCGAGCTGCAGTGGCCGCTTGTAACATTTTAATTAAGTGCGGCGTCTCTGGACCGTAACAGTTGCATTGCTGTGCACCTTCCGTCGGAGAGAAACAGATGAAGAGACAGTTGGCGTGGGACCGAGCGAGGAAATATCATTGATTGGGGAGCGCTCCAGCTTGTCTTTTTATTTTGGCACACGTTTAATCCTCCCTCTGTAGCCTTGCCTGCGCAGTCAAGGCCTTCTGGAGATGATATTGAGTGTGGCTAATGGCTCATTAGCTGCACTTTTTTTTTTTTCTTATTAGATTATTGTTAGGATGCTTGCACGTACCGGCATCCAGGACCAAATGCGATTACGCCGTATAATAATTCCATCATGTTATATTTACAGTGATAATGCATCAAGATTGAGGTGAAAATAGATTTACATGTTGAAACAAGAAAAAAATCTTTAAGATTAATCTGTCAAGTGCTGTACATACGGCTGGATATTAAGCTAGACAGATAGGTGGACAAATAGACAAACAAACAGACAGACAGACAGAGAGCGCTGATTGGCCGGCCGGGTACATTAGATAGATAGATAGATAGATAGATAGATAGATAGATAGATAGATAGATAGATAGATCGAGCGCGAGAGGTCGATAGTGATATAGCGTTAGAAAGACAGAGAAATCGAGCAAG